AAATGCATGTTTGTTAGAGTATTTATTTTTTTTTAGTCTATAATACAGCCATTTGGTATTTGCCATTGTATGGCTTTGCTGACATTTTGGTAAAAATTCTCTTTTTGGGTCCTAGTACCATTACAGTTTGTGAGTTGGGTCATTACAATAAAAGGTCAAGAACTCCTACTTTATTACATTTAGTAAGCTATAGACTTTCAGAGTGACACATCCAAAATATTAAAACAAAAATAAACTGGAGGAGAAAAAAATAAGATCTCCACCAACTTCTATTGAACAGACTTTATAGGCACACCACGAGACAAAATACACATATAGATACACTGCTCAAAAAAAATAAAGGAACATTTTTTAATCAGAGTATAGCATAAAGTCAATTAAACTCCTGGGATATTTATCTGGTCAGTTAAGTAGCAGAGGGGGTTGTTAATCAGTTTCAGCTGCTTTGGTGTTAATTAAATTAATAACAAATGCACTAGATGGGAAACAAGGAGACACATTTAAAAACAGGAGTGGTTTTACAGGTGGAGGCCACTGACATTTTTTCCCTACTCATCTTTTCTGACTGTTTTTCACTAGTTTGGCATTTGGCTATGGTCAGTGTCACTACTAGTAGTGTGAGGCGAAACCTGGACCCTACAGAGGTTGTACAGGCAGTCCAACTCCTCCAGGATGGCACATCAATATGTGCATTGCCAGAAGGTTTGCTGTGTCTCACAGCACAGTCTCAAGAGCATGAAGGAGATTCCAAGAGACAGGCAGTTACTCGAGGAGAGCTGGACAGGGCCGTAGAAGGTACTTAACCCATCAGCAGGATCAGTATCTGCTCCTTTGTGCAAGGAGGAATAAGAAGAGCACTGCCAGAGCCCTTCAAAATGACCTCCAGCAGGCCACTGATGTGAATGTCTCTGACCAAACAATCAGAAACAGACTTCATGAGGGTGGCCTGAGGGCCCAACCTCCTTTAGTGAGCCCTGTGCTCGCTGCCAGGCACCATAGAGCTTGATTGGCATTTACCATTGAACACCAGAATTATCTGGTCCACCACTGGCACCCAGTGCTTTTCACAGATGAGAGCAGGTTCACCCTGAGCACATGTGACAGACGTGAAAGGGTCTGGAGAAGCCATGGAGAATGTTATGCTGCCTGTAACATAGTTCAGCATGACTGTTTTGGTGGTGGGTCAGTGATGGTCTGGGGAGGCATATCCATGGAGGGGCACACAGACCTCTACAGGCTAAACAATGGCACCCTGACTGCCATTAGGTAGGTATTGGGATGAAATCCTTGGACCCACTGACAGATCCTACGCAGGTGCAGTGTGTCCTGGGTTCCTCCTGGTGGATGACAATGCCTGGCCTGACAATGTGGCGAGAGTAGGCAGGCAGTTCCTGGAGGATGAAGAAATTGATATAATTGAATGACCCCCATGCTCCCCTAACCTAAACCCAATAGAACACCTCTGGGATATCATGTTTCAGTCCATCCGACGCCGCCAGTTTGCACCTTAGACTGTCCAGGAGCTCAGTGATGCCCTGCTCCAGATCTGGGAGGAAATACACCAGGACACCATCCGTCGCCTCATTAGGAGCATGCTCTGATGTTGTCAGCATGCATACAAGCACATGGGGGCCATACAAACTAAGTACCATTTTCAGTTGCTGCAATAACATTTCATCAAAATCAACTAGCCTGCTGCATCTTTTTTCACTTTGATTTTCGGGGTGTCTTTGAATTCAGTCCTCTGTAGGTTGAAAAACGATGGGGCATCCTTACATTCCTAGCACATTACCCAGTCCAAATCAGTATAGATATCCAGTATGATATTTTTCCCCATTGAGATCTGATGTGTTTTCAAAGTGTTTCCTTTAATTTTTTTGAGCAGTGTACTTAAAATCAGATTCTTTGCAGATACTCTCTACTGGACTGGTACAGTTGCAAGAAAAAGTATGTGAACCCTTTGGGATTACGTGGAGTTTTGCATGAATTGGGCATAAAATGTGCTCTGAACGTCATCTAAGTCACAACAATAAAGAACACAGTCTGCTGAACATAATACTACACAAACATTAGATGTTGCCATGGTTTAATTGCACATAACATGTAAACATTCACAGTGCAGGGAGGAAAAAGTATGTGAACCTTTGGACTTAATAACTGGTTGACCCTCCTTTGGCAGCAATAACCTCAACCAAACGTTTCCTGTAGTTGCAGATCAGACCTGCACAATGATCTGGAGTCATTTTGGACCACTCCTCTTCACAAAACGGTTTCAGTGTAGCAATATATTCTTGGGATGTCTGGTGTGAATCACTCTCTTAAGGTCATGCCACAGCATTTCAATCGGGTTGAGGTCAGGACTCTGACTGGGCCACTCCAGAAGGCGTATTCTCTGCTGTTGCAGCCATTGTTTTGTTGAATTACTTGTATGCTTTGGGTCATTGTCCTGTTGCATCACCCATCCTCTGCGGAGCTTCAGTTGGCGGACAGATGGTCGTACGTTTTCCTGCAAAATGTCTTGATAAACTCTGGAATTCATTTTCCCATCAATGACAACAATCCGTCCAGGCCCTGAGGCAGCAAAGCAGCCCCAAACCATGATGCTCTCTCCGCCATGTTTTACAGTGGGGATGAGGTTTTGATGTTGGTGTGCTGTGCCTTTTTTTCTCCACACATAGTGTTGTGTGTTCTTCCCAAACAACTCAATCTTGGTTTCATCTGTCCACAGTACATTTTGCCAGTAGTGCTGTGGAACATCCAGGTGCTCTTTTGCAAACTTCAAATGTGCTGCAATATTCTTTTTGGACAGCAATGGCTTCCTCCGTGGTGTCCTCCCATGTACTCCATTCTTGTTTAATGTTTTCCTTATTGTAGATGTGTCAACAAAAATGTTAGCATGTGCCAGAGATTTCTGTAGGTCTTTAGCTGACACTCTGGGATTCTTCTTTACCTCATGCAGCATTCTGCGCTGTGCTCTTGCAGTCATTTTTACAGGACGACCACGCCTAGGCAGAGTAGCAACACTGCTAAACTTTCTCCATTTGTAGACAGTCTGTCTTACCGTGGACACATGAACATCAAGGCTTTTGGAGATACTTTTGTAACCCTTTCCAGCTTCATGCAAGTCAACAATTCTTGATCGTAGGTCTTCTGAGAGCTCTTTTCTGCAAGGCATGGTTCACATCACACAGTGCTTCTTGAAACCAGTAAACCCAAAACAGGTGTGTGTTTTTTTAAGGGCAGGACAGCTGTCAGCAACACATCCAATATCATCAAACTGATTGCAGTCAAGGTTGGCTCACTCCTGGCTCCAATTAGCTCTGGGAGAAGTCATTAAGCTAGGGCTTCACATACTTTTTCCTCCCTGCACTGTGAATGTTTACATGTTATGTGCAATTAAACCATGGCAACATCTAATTTTTGTGTAGTATTATGTTCAGCAGACTGTGTTCTTCTATTGTTGTGACTTAGATGACATTCAGAGCACATTTTATGCCCAATTCATGCAAAACTCCACGTAATCCCAAGGGGTTCACATACTTTTTCTTGCAACTGTACATCAGCTAACCCAAATATGTATGCACACTTCTATAAGATAGTTATTGTACTTGCACTGGCATGCTTGTCCAAATCCAGGTACATCAACGCGTTTCGCAATTAGGTAACTTCATCAGGACAATGAGGGTATATGAATACAAACTAAATATAAAGAAAAATAATAATTTTTACACAAAATATTATAATCAAACAATTTACTTGTTATATGTGTAAATTGTAAGATTTTTTTTTGTGTGTGTAAAATGTTACTTTTCTTTAGATTTATTTTGTATTCATATACCCTCATTGTCCTAATGAAGCTATCTATTTGCAAAACGCGTTGATGTACCTAGATTTGGACAAGCACACCAGTGCATATACAATAACTGTCTTATAGAAGTGTGCATACATATTCGGGCTAGCTGATGTACCAGTCCAGTAGAGGATATCTGCAAAGAATCTGATTTTAAGCATCTATATGTGTATATTGTCTTTTAACAATAGGAGGGTGTATTCCTAAAAAACTCATTTTGTTTTACAAATACATGTCTCCTGGTGTGCCTATAAAGTCTGTTAAATAGGATTTGGTAGAAATCTTATTTTTTTTCTCCTCCAGTTTACTTTTGTTTTACTTTACTATGTTCTTTATGAAAATAAATATCAGCTGTAGTTCTTTTTTCTTCCCATTTTGAAATACAAGAAAATTTAATTTTGAATATAACACTTTAAAAAAAAAAGAACATTGTTGTGTGCTAAAACATTAGATTTTCAGTATATCTTTTTTTAAACTGAATACAAGAGCTATTTTCCTAAATATATATTTGGTAAAATTTCTATCCAACTTTAAAAAAATGTCTTCACTTCATCGTAGAATTTCTTTTTGTTCTGTTCTTTCTTTGTTAATTTGTAAACTACAAGCAATGGTCACATCTGTTGTATTCAAATTGTGAGACCATCAGGGGACAGTGCAGCACTGAATGAAGTATGAATAACAGCACATTTATTGTTAGTATGGATTCTGGAAAAAAAAATATAATGATTTCTCCCCATATTTTTCTGGTAAGTAAAGATTTTAACACACTTGTATTTCAGTCTGGAAGGAAGCAGAATTAAGTATGTATGCTATTAAGCTGCAATAAAACCTCTATTGTCTTGTGCTGGTTCAATCATTAAATCATTGATCTGTTAATACATCTCTAGTAAACTTTGTGGTGTCCAATACAGATTTGTTAGAATAAGTTATTCAACTAATACTGAATAATTGCTGAAAATAAAGGAACATCTGCAAAGCACAAGTTGATGAACATTGTAACCCTCACCGGCTTTTCTCCACTTTCAACTCCCTACTCTCTCCCCCCCCCCCCCCCCCACCCAGTACCTCACTTACCTGCCACGAGATTGCCCGAGATTGCCAATCACTTCCAAAATAAGATCGACGCAATCTGTAAGGACATCACCAATGCTCAACCTACCTCCCCACCTAGCCTCCCTCCCACCATAACCCCACCTACTCTCCCCTCCTCTGACCTCGCAACCGCCCTGCCCCCCCCCACCACATCTAACATCCCACACACTTTTACCTCCCCAACACTCCGCTCCTTCAGCCTTGCCACCACTGAGGAGGTCACCAAGGTCTTCTCAGAAGCCCGCCTCACCACTTGCCCCCTTGACCCTGCCCCCACACAACTCCTCCGGGCACCCTCCTCCTCCATCCTATGCTCCCTCACCCACATCTTCAATCTCTCCCTCTCCACTGGTGCATTCCCCCCCCCCCCTAAATCATCTCCCTGCTGCCATTTACTTCTAAGCTCCTTCAGCGCTTAGTCTACAATCGCCTAAGTGCTCACCTCACTGACAACAACCTCCTCGATCCACTACAGTCTGGCTTCTGTCCCCTACACTCCACCGAAACCGCCCTACTCAAAATCACTAATGACCTGCTAACCGCCAAAGCTAATGGCCACTACTCAGTCCTTTTACTCCTTGACCTCTCCGCGGCCTTCGACACAGTTGACCACCCCCTCCTCCTTAATAAACTACACTCCCTTGGCATCAGAGACTCCGCTCTCTCCTGGCTCTCCTCCTACCTATCCCAACGCTCCTTCAGCATTACCTATAATGCTACCACCTCCCCCTCTCTCCCCCTCTCTGTTGGGGTCCCCCAAGGCTCTGTCCTCGGGCCCCTTCTCTTCTCCATCTACACCTCCTCCCTCGGCAAACTGATACACTCCCATGGCTTCAACTATCACCTCTACGCCGATGACACGCAAATTTACCTCTCCACCCCTCACCCCTTCAGTCCCCGCCTGTATCACCCACCTGCTGAACAACATATCAGACTGGATGTCGCTCCATTTCCTCATACTGAACCTTTCCAGAACCGAGCTCCTAATCTTGCCCCCAGCCCACCCCACCCCACCCTCTCCATCATGACCAACAACACCACCATCGGTCCCACCCAGCAAGCCAAAGTCCTAGGTGTCACTCTAGACTCAAACCTGTGCTTCCAACCCCATGTCCAATCGTTGGCAAACTCATGCAGACTCCACCTCCACAACATCTCCAAAATACGTACGTTCCTAACCCCAGACACTACTAAACAACTCGTTCACTCCCTCATTATTTCACGTTTGGACTACTGCAACTCCCTTCTCACTGGCCCACCTAATCACAGACTATCCCCGCTTCAGTCTATCCTGAACTCAGCGGCCAGATTCATCCACCTTACCAACCGCTCCTCTTCTGCCACCCCCCTCTGTCATTCCCTCCACTGGCTCCCGATTGCCCAACGCATTAAATTCAAACTACTAACACTGACATACAAAGCCATTCACAACGCTGCCCCAAACTACCTCACCGAACTGATACCCAAATACCGCCCAACCCGTAATCTTCACTCCTCACAAGACCTCCTCACAAGACCTCCTACTTTCTAGCTCCCTGATACCCAAATACCACCCAACCCGTAATCTTCACTCCTCACAAGACCTCCTACTTTCTAGCTCCCTGGTCTCCACCTCCCACGCCCGACTGCAGGACTTCTCCAGGACTTCCCCCATCCTCTGGAACTCACTACCCCAATCCATCAGACTGTCACCTACCCTCCTCACCTTTAGGCGCACCCTGAAAACCTATCTCTTCAGGGAAGCCTACCCCGCCCTCACCTAACTACCGATCTCCTCCACTCCTCCTACCACTCCATCCCCCACAGCCACTTCCTCCTGTACCACTTTCTTCTCCCTCCTAGATTGTAAGCTCGAAAGAGCAGGGCCTCGAACCCCTCGTGTATTGTTTTGTTACTGTATTGTCTCATGTTCTGTCCCCCACTATAATGTACAGCGCTGAGCAAACCTTTCTGGCGCTATATAAATACGGAATAATAATAATAATAAACATAAGGGCATGTTTATAAAGCAGTGAATGGTACATTCACCAGTCATTCACTGCAGGTTGGTTAATCACTGTAATTTAAAACACACATCCCAAAAAGATTCTCCTTCAGTGAATGATTGGTTAATGTTACATTTGCCGTCCTCTAAACTTTTCACGTTTGTTAAATTTTATGCAGGTCTTTAGTTGTCTTGGGTAAGTCTTGACTTCCAGTTTTTGCTCTAAAGATGGGGCTTATTTCAAAATAAGACTGATGTCAATTCATCCACAGCTATATGTCTCAATTTGACCACATTTTGTAGAAATGCCTTGGCCAGTAAAATGATCACAACTTACCAGGACTTCACACATATTTAACCACTTTAATTCTCTTACCTTTATACCCCTTAAAGACCAGAGCAATTCATACATTTCCACTATGGGCATGTTTATCCGGCAATGATTTTACAACATTACTTAGATTTAACAGAGTAATGCAGGCCATAGATGGGTCGAAAATCGGCAGATTTTTCGGCCGAAAATAATATCGGCCGATTTTCGGATCGTTAGTGGGCGATTTGGTCGGCCGTTTTTCGGTATTTTGGCCGGTTTTTTTTTTCCGTAAAGTTGGAAAAAAATCGGCCGATTTTGCCGATCGGCCGATTTTCGCGGCAATTAGTGGGCAAATCGGCCGATTTTTTACCGATAGGTCACTGCTCATGCGCAGATTTTTTATCGGTAAAAAATCTGCGCATGAGCAGTGACCTGCAAGAGGAAGACAAAAAGAAGAAAAAGAAGAAGAGGAAGAGGATGAAGAAGAGGATGAAGAAGAAGAAGAGGAAGAAGAAGAGGATGAAGAAGAAGAGGATGAGGATGAAGAAGAAGAAGAAGAGGATGAAGAAGAAGAGGATGAAGAAAAGAGGATGAGGATGAAGAAGAAGAAGAGGATGATGATGATAAGAAGAAGAAGAGGATGAGGATGAAGAAGAAGAAGGATGATGAATAAGAAGAGGATGAGGAAGAGGATGAAGAAGAAGAGGATGAGGAATGAGGATGAGGATGAGGAGAAGAGGAGAAGAAGAGGATGAGGATGAGGATGAAGAAGAAGAGGATGAGGATGAAGAAGAAGAAGAAGAGGATGAGGATGATGAGGATGAAGAAGAAGAGAGGATGAAGAGAAGAGGATGAGGATGAAGATGAAGAGGAGGAGGAGGATGATGAAGAAGAAGAAGAGGATGAGGATGATGAAGAAGAAAGGATGAGGAGGATGATGATGATGAAGAAGAAGAAGAGGATGATGATGATGAAGAAGAAGAGGATGAGGATGATGAAGAAGAAGAAGAGATGAGGATGAGGATGATGAAGAAGAAGAAGAAGGATGATGGATGATGATGATGAAGAAGAAGAAGAGGATGAGGATGATGGATGAAGAAGAAGAAGAGGATGAGGATGATGATGAATGAAGAAGAAGAAGATGATGATGAAGAAGAAGAAGAAGATGAGGATGATGAAGAAGAAGAGGATGAGGATGAGGATGAAGAGAAGAAGAGGATGAGGATGAAGAAGAGGATGAGGATGAAGAAGAAGAAGAAGAAGAGGATGAGGAAGAAGAAGAAGAAGAGGATGAGGATGAAGAAGAAGAAGAAGAAGTAGGATGAAAATAAGAATTCCAGTCCAGCAAAAAGTGTCTCTGCAGAGAGCTCCGCTATTTCTGACAGTTCTCTGACAGTTCCTTCACATTTACAGCGGTTGAAACATTGTATCTATTTGTTTCCGAATAAAAACATCTGTATCCTAAATGGAAACAAATAGATACAATGTTTCAACCGCTGTAAATGTGAAGGAACTGTCAGAGAACTGTCAGAAATAGCGGAGCTCTCTGCAGGGACACTTTTTGCCGGCTGTAGAAGGGATCAAAATCGGCCGATTTTTTTTTACCATTGATGGTAACGTCGGCCGCTTGAACGACCGAATTTTCGTTTTTTAAAAGAAATATCTGCCGGTTTTTCCCCATTTATGGCCTGCATAACTCAGAGGGGGAGATTTATTAATACTGGTGCACACGGAATCTGGTGCAGCTGTGCATGGTAACCAATCAGCTTCTAACTTTAGCTTGTTCAATTAAGCTTTGATTACAAAACCCAGAAGCTGATTGGCTACCATGCACAGCTGCACCGAACTCTGTGTGCACCAAGTTTGGCAAATGACTTTGCCAAACATCTATGAAAAAAATATTAAAACATGGCAAAGTCATTTGCAAATGAAAAATACATTTTTCAATTTTTTTCAATTTTGCACATTTTTTTAGACACTAAAAAAAACAACAAACTGAATAAAAAAATAAATTTACGGTAAATAATAATCAACAACAAAAAAAAAGTGGGAACGAGTGAAATGTGGCTGATTATGGTTAAAATAGGGTTAATAGGTTAAATAGGAATGCATTTTATTTAAAAAAATGGAATATTGTATACGCACCTTTCCATAATTTTCCTCTCCTTGGTGCATATGCATGACAAGACACTGTATATTTATGTTGTTGCTCCTCCCCTCAACCTAATAGGACTGGTTAACTATAAATCCAAAAGGAATCTGGCCCTACACTATTTTGCCAAAAGTATTGGGACACCCCTCTAAATCATTGGATTCAGGTGTTCCAATCACCTCCATGGCCACAGGTGTATAAAATCAAGCACCTAGGCATGCAGACTGCTTCTACAAACATTTGTGAAAGAATGGGTCGCTCTCAGGAGCTCAGTGAATTCAAGTCTAGTACCGTGATAGGTCACTACCTGTGCATTAAGTCCATCCGTGAAATTTCCTCTCTACTAAATATTCCACGGTCAACTGTTATTGTATTATAGTATTATAACAAAGTGGAAGCAACTGGGAACAACAGCAACTCAGCCATGAAGTGGTAGGCCACATAAAATGACAGAGCGGGGTCAGTGCATGCTGAAGAACATAGTGCGCGGAAGTCGCCATCTGTCTGCAGAGTAATTAGCTAAAGACCTCCAAACTTTATGTGGCCTTCAGATTAACATAACAAGAGTGCATGGAGAGCTTCATGGAATAGGTTTCCATGGCCGAGCAGCTGCATCCAAACCTTACATCACCAAGTGCAAAGCGTCGGATGCAATGGTGTAAATTACAGCGCCACTGGACTTTGGAGTGATGAGTCATGATTCCCTCTCTTGCAATATGATGGACGTGTCTGGGTTTGGCAATTGCCAGGAGAACGGTACTTACCCTACTGCATTGTGCCAAGTGTAAAGTTTGGTGGAGGGGGATTTATGATGTGAGGTTGTTTATAGGGGTTGGGCTTGGTCCCTTAGTTTAAGTGAAGGGAACTCTTCAGTATACCAAGACATTTTGGATAATTTAATGCTCCCAACTTTGTGGGAACAGTTTAGGGATGGCCCTTTCCTGTTCCATTATGACTGCACACCAGTGCACAAAGCAAGGTCCATAAAGACATGGATGAGCAAGTTTGGGGTGGAGGAACTTTACTGGCCTGCACAGAGTCCTGACCTCAACCTGATAGAACACCATTGGGATGAATTAGAGTGGAGATTGTGAGCCAGGCCTTCTCTACCGACATAAGTTCCTGACCTCACAAGTGCGCTTCTGAAAGAATGTTCAAACATTCCCATAGACACACTCCTAAACTTTGCGGACAACCTTACCAGAAGAGTTGAAGCTGTTATAACTGCAAAGGGTGGGTCAACTCAATCACCACAAGGATGGGAGTCTGTATGCTGCCATGAAGATGCACCAGGAAAGGAAAATTACAGAAAGGTGAGTATACAATTTTCCATTTCCCTGGAGCATCAGGGAAGCATACATTTTGAAATAACCTGCCAGATGGGAGGGTGCAGAAACGGAAAAATAACTTTAATGACAAGAATCGGAAGGGCAAGCCCATACGACAGACCTCCCGAAACTCAGTGTTGTCAGCTGAGCCAGATCTA